TAAGCGAAGAAGAGACAGCCAACTTATCAGATGCACAGTTCAAAGCACTGGTGATCAGGATGCTCACAGAATTGGTTGATTTTGGTCTCAAATTAGATGAACAAATGAAGGCTGCAATAAGTTGAATGAAGAAAAATGCACACGGAACCAATAGTGATGGAAAGAAAACTGGGTTTCAAATCAATGGAGTGGACCAGAAGGAAGAAAGAAACAACCAAACAGAAAAGAATGAAGAAACAAGAATTCAAAAAAATGAGGAGAGGCTTAGGGACCTCCAGGACATCTTTAAACATTCCAACATCCGAATTATAGGGATACCAGAAGGAGAAGAGGAAGAGCAACAAGTGGAAAACTTATTTGAACAAAGAATAAAGGAGAACTTCCCCATTTTGGCAAAGGAAATAGACTTCCAGGAAGTCCAAGAAGCTCAGAGAGTCCCAAAGAGGTTGGGCCCAAGGACAAACACACCAAGGCACATCATAATTACATTAGCCAAGGTAAAAATGAAGGAGAGAATTCTAGAAGCACCAAGAGATAAGGGGACAGTCACCTACAAAGGAGTTCCCATCAGACTGTCAGCTGATTTCTCAAAAAAGACCTTGCAGGCAAGAAGGGGCTGGAAAGAAGTCTTCCAAGTCATGAAAGGCAAGGACCTACATCCCAGATTGTTCTATCCAGCAAAGCTTTCATTTAGAATGGAAGGGCAGATAAAGTGCTTCTCAGATAAGGTCAAGTTAAAGGAGTTCATCATCACCAAGCCCTCATTATATGAAATGTTAAAGGGACTTATCGAAGAAAAAGAAGATAAAAATATGAACAGTAAAAAAAGACATCAAACTCAGTTATTAACAACCACACCTAAAACAAAAGCAAATAAACAAACAACTAGAATAGGAACGGAACCACAGAAATGGAGATCACATGGAGGGTTAGCAACAGGGGAGTGGGAGGAGGACATGGGGGAAAAGGCACAGAGAATAAGTAGCATTGACAGTAGGTAGAAAATAGACGGGGGAGGGCAAGAATAGTATGGGAAATGTAGAAGTTAAAGAACTTATGACACATGGACATGAACTAAAGGCGGGGAATGTGGGTGGGAGGGGGTGGGCAGGGTGGAAGGGAGTGAAGGGGGAAAATGGGACAACTGTAATAGCATAATGAATAAAATATATTTTAAAAAAGAATCATACTCTGTTATTAGCACCAGTTTTTACTGACCCTTTAATTTAAAATTTGTGGTTATCAACCCTATCAGATTTAATATCTTTTTATGAGATATTTTTATATCCACACTACTATACTAAAAGATATTCCTAAATAACCAATCTATCTATACACATAATTGGGGAAAGGATGGGAAGTTAGTTATAATTAAAAATTACAGGGTCCAGCACAAATAACACCCCTTTTTTAGTTACACAAAAATCTTTTATTACAAAATCATAAGCATATAATTCTATAATACAACAATATCACATTCAAGCATACCACATGACATTTTAGGTGAAATGTTCAAATTGTTGTCCATCTAGTGCGAGACATTCATATACCCTACCAACCACTCTCAATGGCGTTAACCTCTGCCGGACCCTGAATATATTTCATATTGTAAAAACTCAGGCATGACTATACAAGAGATAACAAAGTAGCACCTACATCCAAACCTCTGATCCTACAGCCTTCCTATTACCCCTAGGCTCAAGGGTGCCAGGCAAGTGCCTGGGTTCAACACCAAGGTAGTAGCATAACATACGGTCAGACACATTTTTTTGTTCTTTCCAATATGGTTGATCCAATTTTTTTAACACGTTCAACAATTGGCAAAACACAAGATATGGCTTCAGAAACATCTAACAGACCAAAGAATGGCAGACAAATGACAAAATAACCTAAATAACCTACTTTTCCAATGTTATTTCCTACTATTGTATTCCCCTCCCTGAACTCCCACCATATACACTCCATATCTGGAATCAATGGTTCTCAACCCTGGCTGTAAAGTAGAATCATCTAGGGAGCATTTTCAAATACCCACTTGGGCCCCATTCCCAGAGATTCTGTTTCAGCTGGTCTGGGAGGGTCAGATTAGGCATCATCTTATTTTAAAAGCTCTTTAGGTGACTCCAGTAAACAGAAAAAGTTCCTGACTACTGCACCAGACAAACCTGGTGACTGGCTATTACATACACTGCCAATGTACACCCTCATGACCCTGTACCCCTTATTTAGCCTGTTTCCATTTCCTGAAACAACTGAGGTGGTCTTAAAGATTTGAGCAAGGGAGTGACATGAGGACTCTACAGTCCAATTAGTTTTGGGTTTTGAATCCCAGTTCCACCATTTCTGAGCTTGTGGCCCTGAAAATTCTCAGTCTGTTTCCTCATGTATAAAAAGTGATTAACAGTGTCTTTCTCATAAAGGTGATGCTGTACAGATTAAATGTGATAACTCATGTAAAATATGCTGCTTACAGAGCTGGCATCATGAGCTCCATTAACTACTGGCATTTATAATACAACCCCCTATTTAGAAAAGTGACTCTTATGACACTATGAGCAATGGACTGAGATAAGTGAAGATGGACACCCTGTGAAAGTATTAGGAACTATAGTAATCAAACCTGAACTAAGAAAGAGAGCAAAAAATTGCAAGAGGACAGGATGAATGAAACTTATTACAGAAACAAAATCAAAAGGACCAACTAATATGTTAGAAATGGAGTAAAAAAGTAGTAAAATTTTAAATATTGACAGTTATTTGGGTTTTTTAAATAAATGTTTCATTGAGGTAAAATACACATAACAAAATTTACCAATTAACCATTTCTAAGTATAGTTCAGTGGTATTACATATACCCATAATGTTGTAAACCACCATCCATCTCCATAATTCTTCATTTGTAAAACTGAAATGCTATATTCATTAATTAAACAATAAAATACAGCTATTTGTTTTAAGCAGTGTTACTAGGAAAAGTACTACTATGAAACATAGTATAACACCTGAAGAACAGGCTTGGAAGAAATGAGGCACTCACTTATAGTTGCTTGTCTTTGAGGAAATACATGGAATATTCCCGTGAAGACATCCAGCAGCTAGCTGAACAAGTGAGACTGGAGCTCAGGAAAGAAGTCACGACACCTTGTTCAAAATGTCTACCTTCTAAAATAACCCTTCCTGACCACTGTCTTCCCTCCTCTACCATTTCTACTTCCCCATATAGGTTCAATCTCTGCATTTTTTATATTATTTAGGTCAGAGGTCCCAAACTGGCAGCCTCTGCCACATTGTCTGATCAAAAGAATGTATTGAAACTTTTCTGAGTTAGGTGTCAAAATTTAAAAGTAGTGGGATTCCATATAAATCTCAACTGTGAGCTACTTTTGAAAACTGGAAATTTCTGAGGAAAAGACCAGGTTTCCAAATGGAAAAAATAAGCTGAAAAGCATTTGTCACTTTTAAACAGGGAAAGAGCTTGACTGGCTAGCCTCTGGAAATTTTTAAGTGTGTGACCTCTAAGGGTAAGCCCTTTTTTTCTTTTGCCTGAAAGCCTAAATTCCTCCCAGTCTCACCTACCACCTACCCAGCGCAGATCTGGAAAGATCCTGTTTTTAAATCCTATATACTCTAATTCCACAAACATTGAAGAACTACTGTGTACCAGGCCCAGAGTTGGAGAAACAAAGTTGAAATGAAAGAATTCTCTGCACTGTCTGTCCCTGTCAGTCTTATCTCCAACCACACTGGCAAGCTCTCAATTCCATCAGCCACACATGCCTTCCCCACTTCCAGACCTCTGCACTTGTCGTTCTCTCTGCCCAAACTCTTCCCTCCTAATTATCCTTCACATCTCAAAGGATATTTCCTTAGAAAGACCGTTCCAGGTTCCCCTTAATTGCTTTAACAAGTTCCCATAGCTCTTTCCCAACATTCTTCGCTGCAGTAAATAGACTTGTACTTCTCCATATCTAACTCTGAGAACAGGGATATCGTGTTCATCTTGATTTTGCAGAATCCAGCACAGCCGACTGGGTCAAGTACTTCCATAAAACTTTCAATAGATCTCCTAAGCACGTGTTCTTCCAATATGCCCACCCTGCCAGCTTCCCCGCAATTTACTTCCCTTCACGGCTGCTTCCAGAGTAGAAAGACAAGCTATTGGAAAACCTTTTTAAACTCCAAATGGTTTTAAGCAGGAAGCAACAGGCTCAAAATCGCAATTGTAAAAGATTATGCTGACTGCCGGATACAAAATAAAAGAAGGCGAGGATGCGGCTGTCCAGTTTACTAATCCAGTAGATTATTTCAGTATACTACTATTCCAGTTCTATAAGAATGTGGATCCTATACATTTAACTGTAGTTTTCTCAGTTACCATGTTTTACTCATGGTACTCTCCACGCCTTCACACGTAAGACAGCTGCATACCACCGCGAAACCTCTGAACCCAGCTGCCCTCCCCAAGCCCGGTTCAATAACGTTCACTCCTCCCCACACTGCGAGACCCCCAGTTCCCGCGAATTCTGCCAGATGAGTCCAGGGACCACACTCGATGGAACCAAGCCCGTCATACCCGAGGTCACACACGGGCCGCTCCGGGGTGAATGATTCTTTGGAAGACCAAGTCAAAAGAGTAGCTAAGGGGATAAAGGTAGCTAAAGAGAAAGCGAAAAGGAGGAGAAACCCTGAATGCGACTCCGGGCCAGAGAACCCAAAACAAGGAACAGGGAACAAGGTTTACCAAAGCGAATCCTCGAACACTCGCACTACAGCTCCCTTCAGCGCCTCAACTACCGGCTTTAACGAGCCTCCACACTCGTGCGACAAAGAAAACGTCTTATTCTTGCGACCAGCTTAGGAAACCACCACTCGCTACTTTTAACCAAGTCAGCCAATCAGCAAAGTGAAGCCGTCCACGACGTCAGTCAAGCTCTGATTGGCCAATGAAATTGAAGGACCGGTCCTCCAAACCCAGCTCTGATTGGCCTACAATCCGGAACGGGCGTTAACCCCAGGAAGGCATTGGCAAGATGGCGTCCCTGGATCGGGTGAAGGTACTGGTGTTGGGAGACTCAGGTGAGCTGCTTAACCCAACTCTTGGGCTCCCGACACTTTTAAATTATCCGGTAATGACTACTTCCTCCCTACGCCAAATAACAGGCTCCGGCCCGCGGCTGCAATCCTTCCCAAAGCCTAAAGACTACACTTCCCAGAGGACTTTGCTATGTTTGACGAAGTGGAAGGGGGCGCGGAGTGCCGGCCCTTCTCAGTCTTCGCAGCTTTACCGGTCGTTCTCCTGGATGATTATAACTTGGCGCGTGTGGTCAATTCCTTTGTTTAAAAAGATTTGCAGACGTTGCTTGTTCTGTTGGACGCGGTGCTAAGGAAACTGAAATTAGGACCGTGCCTTCAAGAAAAAAGTGTTGTGGAGGGTTGTAACTGACAGAACCGGTTTGAACCCAGAGTCCGCGTACTTAAATACTAACCTACATTATGAAATGAAATATTGGATGATTGTCCTCTTTTACTCTGAATTAGGCTTGATTTATTTGTTCTCTTTGATCTTAATTGAAAACCTATTACGTACTAGGTTGTAAGAAATAGAGATATTAAGATAAGGGCCATAATATGAAGTAGCTAGGACTTAATGCTGAGCCCAGTTTAATCCTAGTGTTAGAATTATTTTGATACCTTGGACATTTGAGAACTCAAATTGAAAGTGCATTTCTCCCTCCCACCTCACTATCCTTCCTCTCACCATGACCTCCATTCCTACGCTTCTCACGAACTTGAAATAAATGCTAACCTTGCATTTCATAGATGTGTTTTTCAGGAGTTGAGCTTTGAATATGTGTTGTGAGCAAAGACATTGTGCCGCATGCTTGGAAATGGACAGAACATCCCCCAAAGAGCTTGAAAACTACCCTTACTGAACTGAATGGCATAGTTGGGGAAAGGAAGAGGTCAAAAACATTTTCACCTTTCCTGAAGATTTACATTATAAAATATTTTACAGAGAGCATTTTTTAAAATTCTCTTAAGAAAGTTACATTGTGAAATAAAGCATTTATGTCACCTCCAATTCTTTAGCCTGAAATCGTGATGTTAATTTAATAAAATCATGAAGTTTTACAGATAAAGTAATGGTAGTCTAATTTGGGAAGATAATCACCAAGTAGAATTTACAACTGAAATAGCTAACACAGTTTCATGATATTTGAAGTAGGTATCTCTTTTATAATTCCCCTTTGTATTGCAACAAACAATTATTTCATGTTAGATATTGTTGGAAGTAGTCCATTTTTCTCCCCCAAAACACTTATATATGTACAGAGCAGGCACTGTTTTAGGTGCTAGGGTTATAACTGTAATCAGTGCATTACATTACAGGGTTGCATTAGCAGCTGTATTAAATGAGGAAAAGTGATCAGGAAATTAGTAAGCTTTTTTCATTGTTCATTATAACTCAATTGTAAAACATAAGACAAAATGCCCACCAGGAAAGTGACCAATCTTGTTACACATTCAGTGATGTTAGGCTCCATGTGCAAAGTCAGTTACTGCTTTATCATTTCCCTTTTAACAGTGATTTGCTATCGGACAGGTTAGAATATACTCCTTACACTTCACCAGCATTTTTTTTTTCAAACTTCAAAGTTTACTTTTGAGTAAAGGGTTATTTCCCTCATGAAACTTGGAGGATTTCACAAATATACAAAGGGATTTAGAAATTTGTTTTGTGTCATAGAGATATTTGATGATTTAGTAAGGAATTCTGAAAGTTCCATTAATAGGCACACGCTGACTCTTTGTTCTTTCAGATATAAGGGACACGCTAAATACATTACCAACAACTATATTTGGAGCAGGTATTTAATTGTATTGGGCCTTTTACCACCTCCCTCCCCCCAACAAATCAATGAATTTTTTAATCTAATTTCATCCTAATAGTGAAAGTATAGAATCAGAACTTCCCCAAAATTCTTAAAGAAATGAATAGTTAGCCATTGTTTCTGATATGTCAATTTTTCTTAGTGTTTAGAATTCATTCAGTGTTAACTAATGCTTATCACCCAAAGTTAATTCATGGAGAGCTATATGTGTTACTGGATAAAAATGCTTACTCTGATACAGTTAAGCTTAACTAGAAGCTCAAGTCTTGCATCAAACTGCAAACTGCAAACTGCCTAGATATATGCCTCCAACATAAACTTATATGCCAACACAAAAATCAACAGCATGCCCCAGAAATCACAGATGCAGTGCAATCAATACAAAGACAAAAACTAAGTTTAAGTGACAAAAATAAATGTCTATGCAAAGAATAAAAGGGAAGCCTGGGAAAATGTTTGATTCAATTACATGAGACATCTAATATAGAAAGATCATGAAAATTAATAATAAGCAGCTATATAACATTGTTGAGGTACAACAAAACTTGCAGGCTTATGTGTATGGCTGGTGGCACAGTACCCAGATGAAAGTCATTGATATATATTAAGAACTTTAAATGTTTATTTCCTTTTACATGTGAATTTCATTTCTGGGAAGATACACCAAGGAAGTAATTTTAATTGTAAACAAAAATTTAAATAATTTTTTTTCTTAGCATAGTGAAAACTTTAATACACCTTAAATATCTAATAATGAGGGAATGGTTAAGTAAATTGTTATGTCAGTGTTCTCAACTACAATGGAGCCATTACACATGTTAGGGAAATTCTGTATTAATGGAAAACTTAGTCACTAAATAAATACTAATTAAGAACCTGTTCTGAGTACTGGAGATTGGGGCAGGCAGGGGGAGGAAGATGAATAAAACCCAATCACAATCTTCTAAGAAATTAAAGTAGATAAAATCTAAAACCTATAAATAAAAAAGTATAATAATGTTTTAAGTGTTCTGTAAAAAATTTACAGGGTACAGTTGGAGACCCAGAGGATGGTGGATTATGTACTTAGTTCTCTCTGTGGAGTCAGAAAAGACTTTATAACTAGAATGTTGACAGATTAATTCATTAGGCCACTGGAGGGAAGGGCTGGGAGAGAATGGGTAGTATATTCCAGACAGAACCAGATCTGTAAATGAAGGCTTATGATTTATAGTTTTAAGTATACCATGTATATATTTACAAAAATAATCTGCTTATAGAAAACCCTGCTTATCAAATTAAACCTACATGTTGACGATAGTGCTCTTCAGGTGATTTTCCCCCTTTTTAAAAATACTTTCCAGTTGCTTGTAAATATAACTTTATGTAATAAAAAAATGATAGGTTCCTACATAAAAATACAAAGAAAACACACAAAGAAATGGTCTAATTTTTTTTTAATCCTCTCCTGAGGATATGTTGATTGATTTTGGAGAGAGAAGAAGGGAGGGGGAGAAAGAGAAACATTGATGTGAAGAACCATTGATTGATTGCCTTCAGTATACACCCTGACTGGGAGATTGAACCCACAACCTAGGTGTGTGCCCTGATGCTCCAACCAACTGAGCCACTCCGCTCTGGCATCTAAATATTCGATGCAACTAATGATGCATAAAGATTCACCAACTATGCTTGACATAGTGGCATCAACTGCTGTTAATTAAATGAGTGACTCCATTAATATACAGGGAGAACTCATTTTCTTTCCCCTTCATACAGATTGCTCTGAACCCAGGAAAGCCAAAGGAAAATAAAGTGCTGCCTTAAGGTAAAGTGCTATGATGTAGAAGAGGAAATAGAGTTGTTCTTTTTTTCCAAAAAAGGGGCTGGGAGAGAATGGGCTGGGAAAGCTGAACCAAGTGGTTGGCTACCCTTTAAAATTTACTGAGGGAGAATTGGAGTGTCCAGATAAGTCCCTGTCACTGACAGTGTTCAAGCACAATGTGGAAGACCACCGAACAGGGTGCTATGGAGGGACCTCTCCATTGGTGATCAGGATAGAGGATTACCTTCAGGATATGTTCATCTACAATTCTAAAACAAGCTGAATATGCCCTGACTGGAGTGGCTCAGTTGGTTGAAGGCTGTCCAGAAAAGCAAAAGGTCATTGGTTGGATTCCCAGTCAGAGTACATGCCTGGGTTGTGGCCCAGTCCCCAGCTGGGTTGCATGGGAGAAGCAACATCGATGTTTCTCTCACATAGTGATGTTTGTTTCTCTTTCTCCCTCCTGTCCCTTCTCTCTAAAAATAAAGAAATCTTTTAAAAAAATAGTCTGAACAGATGAAATCATTCAAAAGGAAAGGAATAGTTCATATGAAATTGCCCTAGAACAGTAGTTCTCAAAGTGAGGAGGCCCCTGGACCAGCAGCATCAGCATCACCAGGGAATTTGTTAGAAGTGCAGAAGTTTGAGCTCCACAACTGACCTGTTGAATAGCAAACTGGGAGCAGGACCCAGCATTCTGTTTTAACAAGCCCTCATTAAGTGAATTTTAGAGAGTACTTTCCTTGACCATCTATTTATTGATAAGGTTTATTAAGTGGTTGGTATGGTGAACACCCTTTAAACAGCTGTACTTTACATACCACCAATGCTGCATATTCCCAGTTACACCTTTGCCATAATAGATTTCAGCATGTCTCTTACATGACTACAGTTCTTGTATCTTTTACAGGTGTTGGGAAATCTTCACTTGTTCATCTTCTGTGCCAAAATCAAGTGCTGGGAAATCCATCATGGACTGTGGGCTGCTCAGTAGATGTCAGAGTATGTTTTTTATATTTTAGTTTTTAGTAGTCATATTCAGAATAACTAGTTCAAACTACACAGTCCAGCACAAATAACACCCCTTTTTTACAAAATCTTTTATTACAAAATCATAAACATGTAATTCTGTAACATAACAATATCACACGCCACCATACCATATAACATTTTAGGTGAAATGTTCAAATTAAAACTATAAATTATTACACCAATATTATTACCCTACCAACAACACTCAAGCAGTCCCTGCCAGTCCCTGTATGTAATCAAATTACAGTACTGTGGTCAGAATTAAGTGATGATAATAACTGGGCTTTATAAAGCACCTACTCTGTGCTGGATAGTATGCAAAATGCTTTACATGTCTCTGCTTATTAAATCTTTTCTAAATTGTTAGATATAGCTGCAGAACACAAAGCACGGAGAAGTAAAATAACTTGACCAAATTCACTCAGTGCTTAACAAGGAGAGTCAGTTTTTGATCCCCATTAGTCTGATTCCAGAGACTTCAGTTTTAACTATTATGCTTTTTATGTAAAGTTCACTTTACATCTCTATAAATAATTCTGCCTTAGCCTTTGCCACCAAGAAGTCCAACTTTTGACTAGAAATAGTACAAGGCAAAAGTTTCTGGAGCCTTATGTCTAGGTCATCTGTTCCACCTCACATTTCAGAAACACAGGTGCAGATTCCACTGAATTAAGTATCTTCCCAGGTATTGTTTGGTGTTTGCTAATTCCAACTGCTCCGTTGCAAGTGTTTCTTCTGCGGGCATACATCTCTCCATTGAGTTAAGAAATAAATAGGGGAGGGATGGTAATTAGCTGGATTGACAGTTATTTTCCTTTAGTTCTTTGAAGCTATTGTTCCACGGGCTGTGACTTATTTTGCTGCTGATTAGAAATCTTGCATCAGAAATCTTTGATATTATGTAGTTTTGCTAACCTACGTCTAGGTGTGAATTAGTTACTAGCCATTCTATTCAGAAGTTGTGCTTCTCATAGCTCTCTTCACTTTTCAAAAATTTTAGCCATTATCTGTTTTTCTTCAATCCTCAATCCTCTCCTTTTGAACTTCTATTAGAATTTTGTCTTCTGTATTTTTCAATTGAACTTTAATATTTTCTATTCTTTATTTCTCCTTAATTCATTCTGGATGATGTACTCCTATCTATTTTCCAGTTAACTAAGAGTCTCTTCAATTATGTCTAATTTGCTTTTAATATTCCACTCAATTATCATTTTAGTAATTCTAGTTTTAGATGTTATTTTTGGTTCTTTTGCAAATGCCAAAATCTTTCAAAATATCCTTATCTTTCATTATGGTTTTACTTGTTTATTTTAATCATTTTAAACATACTATTTTGTGGTTGCTCTTGGATGTTCTGGTTTTTTTTTTTTTCTGGGTGGATGGTAGATACCCTACCTTGTATGCTGACTCCATGAAAATGTATCTTTTTGTACAGTTTCTAATTTTTTGAAGATGCTCACATCTTCAGTGGGATTTTGTTTCCTCTTCCCTGTGGAAGTCCTGTGTGCTGTGTTGTGAAAGTACAGTCAGTGCCTTTTCATTTCGGTTGCTGCCACAGGGATTTCAATGGTACTTGTAATTTCTCATATATGAGTTTCCATGCTATCTAGATCATGTAAATTTTCCTAATGTATAATTACAACATGGGCCAATGGTTTCCATTCCTTGGGGACTTTTTATCTACTCTCTACCACCCCTACTTGAGGTCCCTGATAGAAAGTTTGTTGTTTTCCTGACCATTGGATAGTTTTTCCAAGTCTCACTGACTGGGTAACTTATCTAAGTCTAGACTTCATGTAGAGAAATACAGTCTGGTCTTTGTCACTCACCCACATACACTCCTACCTGAGAAACTGGAAAACAAATCTTTATTCCCAGATGGGCACTAAAACTCCAGGGACCAGACCCTGAAGCTATATCTGAATCTAGGTCAGTTCCCACTTATCACTCTGATTTTAAGTTCTTTCTTCATTTCTAGCATCTGGGGATTTTCCTTTCTTTTGAGCTTGTCCTCTTTATTTACTTTTTAACATTTTATGATTTATATGCATGTAAAGTCAGAGGGAACTTGTCTGCCATTTCAGCCTACCACGTTCCCAAATTTTTAGATCTGGAAGAAAACAAATTCTAGATACTGAGTTCAATGACAACTTTAGTTGAGTTCAGGACACCCAATGCCAAGTTCCAGACAAAATTTCCCTTTGCACTCTCCTAGCACCCCTTCTGTGAGATAACATATTGAAACTAGTCCACCAACTTACACCAGACAAAAATAAACTCAAGATAGATAAAAGACTTCAGTATAAGTCGTGACACCATAAAAGTCCTAGAGGAGAGCACAGGCAGGAAAATTTCAGATATCCCATGCAGCAATATCTTCACCAATATGTCCCCTAGGGCAAGGGATATAAGGCAAAGAATAAACAAATGGGACTACATCAAATTAAAAAAGCTTCTGCACGGCTGAAGAAAATATCAACAAAATGAAAAGGGAACCAACCATATGAGAAAACATGCTTGCCAATGGTACCTCAGACAAGGGTTTCATCTCCAAAATATGTAAAGAACTCACACGACTCCACACCATGAAGACAAGTAATCCAATTAAAAAATGGGCAAAGGAACTGAACAGACACTTCTCCAAGGAGGACATACAGAGGGCTCAGAGACACATGAAAGGATGCTCAAGATCACTAGCCATAAGAGAGATGCTAATTAAAGCCACAATGAGGTACCACTTCATGCCAGTTAAAGTGGTCATCATAAACAAATCAACAAACAACAAGTACTGGCAAGGTTGTGGAGAGAAGGGAACCCTAGTGCACCGTTGGTGGGAATGCAGACTGGCGCAGCCACTGTGGAAAACCACATAGAATTTCTTCAAAAAACTAAAAACGGAACTGCCTTTTTAAAAAATTGTTGTTCAAGTACAGTTGTCTCCATTCTCCACCCACCACTCCCCCCCTGCCCCACCCTCAATCCTACTCCCTTTGGCTTTGTCCATGTGTCTTTTATGTATGCTTCTTGATGATCCTTCCCCCTTTTCTCCCCATTTTCCCTCTTTCCCCTCCCTTCTGGTTACTGTGCATTTGTGGAACTATCTTTGAATCCAGTGATCCCACTGCTAGAATTATACCCTAAGAATTCTGAATCACCAATTCAAAAGAACCTTATGCACCCCAATGTTCATAGCAGCACAATTTACAATAGCTAAGTGCTAGAAACAGCCTAAGTGCCCAACATAAATGACTGGATCAAAAAACTGTGGTGCATTTACACAATGGAATACTACTCAGCAGAAAGAAAGAAGGAGCTCCTGCCCTTCTGACAGCATGGATGGAACTGGAGAGCATTACGCTAAGTGAAATAAACCAGGTGGTGAAAGACAAATACCATATGATCTCACCTAGAAGAGGAACCTAATCAACAAAACAAACAAATGAGCAAAATAGAACCAGAGACATGGAAATAAAGAACAAATTGACAGTGACCAGGGGGAGGGGGTAAAGGGAATAACGGGGAAAAGAAGGGGAAAGATCAAGTGAAGGAACATGTATAAAGGACCCATGGTCATGGACAACAGGGTAGGGATTGAGGGGGGTGGGGCAGAGCAGGGGAGAGCAACAAAGGCATAACTGGGACAACTATAAGTGAACAACAATAAAAAAATGACAAAAAATAAAAATAAAAATCTATTAAAAAACCTTAGATTTAAACCCCCATTTTCTGGGTCGGTCTGCATATTACCTTTTGCTTCTTAAAAAAGTGACCTTAGACTAATCAGTTTACTTTCTGAGCTTTATTATTTGCAAAGTAGAGGTAAATAATACCTTCTTTATCTAGCCCAGGGTGTCAAACTCATTTTCACTGAGGGGGCCACATCAGCCTTGCGGTTGCCTTCAAAGGGACAAAATAATTTTACGACTTTGTAAATGTAACTACTCCTTAAATGTTAAGGAGTTGAAATTACATTTGGCCCTTTTAAGGCAACCGCAAGGCTGATGTGGCCCCTGTGAAAATGAGTTTGACACTCTGATTCTGGACTATAGGTTTGTAGGGAAGATCAGAGAAGCTTAGATGTAAAGTTAAGGTATAGTGCTTTAAATTTAAAATTGAATTTTAGTTCAGTTTTCTGTGCCCCTCTCTCCCTGCCCCTTTGCCCTTGTCCTGACCCTCTTATTCCCACCCAGAACTCAGTCTGCTCACATCATTTACCTCTTGGGTTTCCCCCTATTTGTTGAATTGGCTAAGTCTCTGGTATAATGTTGAATAGAAGTGGTGACAGTGGGTCTCATTCCCCATCTCAAGAAATTTTCGATGTGCTCTTAAGTCTGGTGTTTGCTCCAGGGTTTTTTGTACATATGCTTTATGAGATACAGAAGTTCCCTTTTGTTCCTATTTTGATGAGAATTTGTATCCTGAATTGGTGTTGTATTTTATCAGTTTTTTATGAAAATCATAATATTTCAGCTTTAATTTGTTATTGTGGTAAATTATGTTGATTGGTTTCTAAATATTAAACCAACTTAGCATTCTTAGGATAAATCCAATTTTGTCTTGTCTTCATACATCACTAGATTCAGTTTGCTAATATTTTTTCAAATAATTGCATCTAAATTCATCACAAATATTAGTCTGTCGTTTTTCTTATTATCTTGTGGAGTTTTGGTATCAGGGTTATGCTAGCCTCATAAAATGAGTTGAGAAGTGTTATTTATGTTTCTAGTCTCTGGAAGAATTTATCTAAGTTTTCTGTTATTTTTTTTTACTTATTTAAAAGAATTCATAGCCCTGGCTGGCGTAGCTCAGTGGATTGAGCGCGGACTGGGAACCAAAGTGTCCCAGGTTCGATTCCCACCCAGGGTACATGCCTGGGTTGCAGGCCATAACCCCCAGCAACTGCACATTGATGTTTCTCTCTCTCTCTCTCTCTCTCTCTCTCTATCTCCCTCTCTTCCCTCTCTAAAAAT